GGAGTGACATTTGCTTTCTTCCGGTCCTCGGAAATCTCTCCTCACTGCCATGACCTTCCAAAGATAATCAAGAGTGGCCTCACAGTGACATCAGCCAGCTCCCTCAGCATTTGTAGGTGCATCCCATCAGGTCCCATGAGCTTATGTCCGTCCTGCTTGTCTGAATGTTCCCTAACCTGATTCTTCTCTACCAAGGGTAAGTCTTCCTTGCTCCAGCCTTCTCGTTGGTCTCAGGGGCCCAAGATTCCTCTATGCAAACCTTCCCATTAAATGCCGAGGTGAAGAAACCACAGAAGAGTACCTTGGCCTTCTCCATGTTGTCGCCAGCTCCCCCGCCCCATTCGTCAGTGGGCCCAGATTATCCCTAGTCTTTGTTTCGCTGCTGATATATCTGTAGAAACCTTTCCTGTTGCTTTTCACATCCCTTACCAGATCAAATCTGAGACTGGCTTTTACAACCCCATCTCTGCATGCTTGGGCAGTGTCTCTATATTCCTCCTGGGTGATCTGACCCTGCTTCCACCTCTTTTATGTTTATTTTTCACATTTGAATTTTATCAGGAGCGAATTGTTTATCCTTGGACACATCCTGCCACCTTTGCTCGATTTCCTGGTCATTTGGGATGGACCAATCTTGAACTTGGAGAAGGCAATCCTTAAAACTCAACCAGGTATCCTGGGCCTTTCTTCTCTACAGGACCATATTCCCATGGAAGTCTTTAAGAAATAACTTAATGATATGATTGACATCTGTACAAGACATATTAGCAGATACTATATTAAAGGAATTAACAGACACATGGAGAGATAGGACTTCTTTGGGAGCCAATATTGCTTTGGTTGGAAGGAGTTGTGCTTCACAATTGTGTTGAATTGTATTGGAATTCTTTAGGAGCACCAACAGCGTGCAGATAAGGAGCTGGTTGATATGTTTCCCTTGGGTTTCCAAAGGTATTTGAAAAATCCTTCACTGCAAACTTTGTAAAGGTACTAAGTAGCCATGTTTAAGAGAGAAAATCCTGGGCTGGATGAGTCAAAAGATAGGAACAGAGGATAAAAGCAAAGTGTCAGTTCTCTCAACTAGAGAAAGTGCCCAGTGGTGTTTCACAAGGTTCTGTGCTGCTCAGCACATTCATAAACAAAGTGCAAGAGGGTGAGCCATAAGATAAACAAATTTGCTGATTTGAGTTATTTAGGACAGTGAGTGCAAGGGCCAGCTACAACCTGGCAGAAGGAAATTCAAGGTAAATTGATGTAAAGCGAGGCAAACAGGCAAAATAATCCTTATCACATAAAACACTGGATTCTGAGCTATCAGGCCTGAGATGTTTCTTGATTAGTATTAACTCAGTGCTCACTAGCAATCAAAAAGAAGCAAATAAAATCTTAGAAGTTACTTAAAAATAGAGAACATCATTGTGATAGCAGACTATGACGTGCCTACATCTTGAGTGCTGTGCAGAGTTCTTATTCCCTCTCGAAAAAGAATCCAGTAAAGCTGACAGAGACATCTGCAGAGCTGATTATGCTTCAAGAGCAGGTCTTGGCCATCCAGTATTCTTCTGTCAAGTATAACAGAGAATTTGAAGGGTGCTTGATTTTTCACAGACTCAAGTAGCACTTATTGATGCTAAAGTATCATTAAGTACAAAATATCAAGTTTCTAGCGGTTTAAGCCACAAGCTACCTAGATTGGCAAAATAAATACAACGCATAAGCATCTAGGAACTACTAAAAAACCCTTTAACTCCATTTTTTATTATATTCTTTTGAAGACTGGAGAAACATTTTTATGTAAGCCTTGATGTTAAGGTGAGGCATGCCAATGGCTTTATCCGACATTCTATCTTACATGCCCTCAGCTAATAATTTTAAAAGGTAACTGGCTTATTATGATAACTTTTATAAGATATTTCTTGTTTATTAAAAGAAGTTATGCAACATGAAAAAACATAATTTCTGGTTCTATAGCAGAATTATTTTGACAGAGAAAACACAGGAAATCTGTTCCAGAATTTACCTTAGGTTTTTTGATGCCAGCCGGCATCTTACAGTTCCACTTAAGGGGGACAGAAGAGCAAGAAATAGTTAAGCTTAGATATGCTTTATAAACCATTAATTTCAATGACCAACCCAAATACCATGAAGACCTACAGACTCATCTCAGATTCACATAGTTGCTCATTTCCAGGATTTCACGGGGCTAAGAACAGATGTATGTCAGTAATCTGGAAACTGGCTCAATTCCTTTGGGATTTTTTTCCAGAATGGAAGCAAGGGGGAGGAAGGGGAAAGAAGAAAAACAATTTGACTGAAACATCACTCTTTCTCCTGTCTTAAAAAGAAGTGGAGTCTTTGAGCAGAAAGGGAATATCAGCTACAGCAGTCGGACCTTTGTAGCTCCAGATAAGGGTTGAGATCTCGACAGATCTATAATTATCAGTTCTGATAAATCAGGGATCAGAGCTCTTTGTCTTCAGCATCGCCGACAGCACTTCCTCTCCCAAACACGTTACAACCAGATTAGGAAAGATAGTAGATAAGACATAAGCAGCACAGAGGATAGTTCAATAGCGTATGCTTTGAGCACTGGCAGAGTATCATTATTACTGCTTTAAGCAATCTTCCTTTTCAGTACTTCCAGTATCTTGTCTAATACTGACCTATGCATTACGAAGGGCAAGTAATCCCCCCCTTACCCTGAATTATGAGGGTTTTTTTTGTATCTATATGTCTCCCTTCATGTTTTCCCAATTATTTTTTTAAACTCTCCCTGTACCTCCAAAGCCTGGGAACTTTCTATTCCACACAAAGATGCTTGCATAATACTTCAGATACTAAGTTTACAGTACACCAACTAGCAAGTTGCAACTAACACACCTGGTAGCACAGAGGTCTTATAAAAGCACAGGTTGTTAATGTATCTTCTTACTCTTAAGAGCCTTAGACTGACAGAGATTCCTTATTTCAATGGGGAGATTGGGTAGTTCACATTTTCCATTTCAGAAACAGCATACTTACTGAAATTAAGTACATCTAAGAACAAGAAAAAAACTCACTGACACTCCGTATTTATTTTTCTGCATTCATTGATTTGTGATGCATACTCATTCCTTGGTAAATGAAGAGGAAAAGCTCAAACGCACAAACCTAGCTAGTGTAAAGAACTACTCATATCTGACATTTTGGAAATACCAAATGGTATTACATACAAAGACCCTTCTAAAAGCAGCCCTTTTTTGCACTTCACTTATTTGAAAACAACTATTTTTTCTGCACATCACATTCCCCAGTTTCTCCCTGAGCAAGGCAGCACACAACAGATCAACCAGAAGAAGTCGTATTTGCCAACGTCTTGATCCTTGCCTCTATCCCCTCCCACAGTAAAAAACCCACAGTTTTGTTAAATCTCTTTATTTATAATCTTATAACAAAGCAGTTTCTTTTTTTTTTTTAGCATAAAAAAACAGCAACAAAGCCTTCAGATCACACAGGGGCTAAATTCATTATGTTCGGAGGAAAGGGCGGAGGGAAAGAAAAGTCGACAATAAAAGAAACGTTGAGAGTCCTGAGTTTTCCTAGAGGCTCCCCTTGAGGGCCCTGAGGCTGGGAAGCAACTGGGCTGCGCTCAGACGCTCCTCCACATTAGCCTTCCAGCAGCAGCTAATAATGCTCTGGAGTCTCTGGCCCACTGGTGACTCGTAGAAAACAGCAGCAGCCAGCGAAGGGCGTAAGTTATAGGCTACCACAGCATAGAGCACATACTGCCGCTCACCCAGGTAGGGCTGCTCTCGCATGACGATTTGCCAGAGGGTGATAGCAAACGAGTAGATGTCTGCTTTGGCAGTGACCCTCTCCCCCTTGAGGAGCTCAGGGGCACGGTGTGTGTACGTGCCCCCTTGCTGGCAAACATGGGGACTCTGGGACAAGCCCTCCTCCAGTTTCTGGGAGCACCCAAAGTCTCCAATCTTGCACACTCCCTGCTCAGTGATGAAGATGTTTGCAGGCTTCAGGTCCAAGTGCACAATGCCCTGTGAGTGAAGAAAGGCTAAGCCAGTCATAATGTCACAAGAATAGCACACAGTCTCTTCCATGCTCGGGGCCTTCCTTCCACATCCTCCTTCATCATCCTCACCCTGTCTCCACGCATCCCCAGTGCCATAAATTACATGGTGCAGGGTGATGTTGCCCACGTACTCCATAATGATGGTGCCCAGGCTGTTCTGGCCGGCCGGGGCACACGTGCTGGCAGCCACCACACGTACCACATTATTGTGCTGTAGCCGGGCTACGTTCAGCTCAGACCAAAAGCTCTGTCGTGATGCCAGCCGGTTTTTGCTGCTCTTCTTCACCTGCTTCACAGCCACAGTTGCACCACGGTAGGTGGCTTTGTAGACAGAACCAAAGCCCCCAGAGCCTAGGGGCTGCAGGAGGCAGAGCTGATCCCAATCAATGGAGCACCAGGCCAGGCGTGGAGGCAAGCGGCGAGTCCTGGCTGAAGGAGTTTCCCCCAAGAAGTTTTTGCTGTCTTTGCCAGGGATAACTAAGGGGCTGCTGCAGGGTCGCAAATCCGCAGATGGGGAAAACTCCAAAGGAAGATAACAGTTAAGAGGAATGGGTGATGGCATAATAAGATGGAGAAAACAACAGGCAGTTACTAAGACAAAAGACTGGAAAGTTTCCCTGACAGAAAGGACTCTCTAGTGACTTCCAAAGCCTTTTATCCTCTCTTCACCATTCTCCCTCCCACCCCTAAATGAACTGCATCTGTCACAACTAGCTGAACCCAATCAGGCTCACCTGGAAACATTCTCCTCCAACCCTGAAGTAAATCTCTAGAAACTCAAGGCAAATGGATTTAAAGCTAAAAAAAATATTAACTCACATGTATTTCACATAATTTCTAATCTCAAGAGAAAAGAAAGATGTTCTGTCCATTGAATGCCTCTAGCAAAATGCCCCAGCAGTAAATAAAGCAGTGATTGGCGAATGCATTTCACCATGGCTCCAGGCAAGAATGATCATCATCAGACGCATTAAACAGCTCGAAGTCATTGTCAGAGGGAGCAGCTGAAATGGTGAGTGCTAGCATTTAATGAGCTTATGGCAGGCATAACTGAATATAAAAGTGTGTTCGCAGAGACCTGCCACTTAAACATGACTGGGACAAGGGGGCTGGTTTGGCTGCTCAACTCTGCCTATGCAGGACAGCAAGCTTAATAGTAGCATAAAGACAAATAATTGCTCTGTATCATCCATTGGATATAGTAAATAGAATTACACATAAAGATTTGGTTGTCTTCCCATCACACCCCACGCAGTTACTACAGGTATGTATTTCATTTCTAGGTCCTCCTTAGTAAACCTACTGCTAAATTTACAGAGCTGCTCTGGCAGAAGTCAAATAAATGTAATTTTGCCTTGCTGGTCCCAGTGTTTTTTTCAGAGGGGCTTTGCTCTTTTGACCCTGCTTTCACGTATTCACAATGCTCACGCTAACTGCCTTAGTGTTTGGTACCTGCCGTACTGCCCTTCCATCAGAGCACCCTTATGGGACCTATACAGCTAAGTGCTTTTGAATATTCCAGTAAGTATCTTTCTGTACATGTTGACAAATATCTTGGAAAGCTCAGTCCCCATTTCCCACCTCCTTGCCCTTCAGATCCTTCGTCTGGATGTCAGCTTTGTCAATACGGATCCTGCCACAGGACTTCAAAGATTGGTGGTGCCTGTTTCTCCAGAGTTTACTTCTGGGCAGCCCTGGCTCTGCAGGCAGTTTCTGCAGAGTTTTCCTGGTGTTTTCTGTTCCTTTATTTTGCTTCTCCGGACGAGTAAGATGCAGCACAGATGCACTGAGGGAGGTTTCAGGGGTGCTCAGAACATGTTCAAGCAGAACTGGAGTGTGCTCCACCTTGAGAAGCGTTCGGTTGTTCACCTCAATAGACAAACCTAATGTCCCAAAGACGTCTTCTGACCCTACTCGAACTCTAGATCAGCTCAGCCAGAGGGTTTCAAAGGCATCACTCTAGCGAATCAGCGATGGAGACTTTCCCTGGTACTGCGACTTAGGACTATCAGGAGAAATTTGTCATCCAATTCACAGGGAAGCAAACCTGGACCAGCGATGAATGAGAATGGGGAATTTGGGTTATCACCTGCCAGTGTGAAACGGATAGGCTGGGGAAGAACTAGGTAAATAGGTGCTAATGTGCATCGTAGGAGTTGTTAACAAGTGAGAGTGCAAAGAGTTAGGGATGCCAGAGGGCCTCTCAATGGCCCTGGGTGGGACGGTCCCTGCAGATGGGACTGCCTGACAACACAAGGCTCCTCTTTCCTTGCCCCTCCCAGAAAGGACTCTAACAGTACAAGAGACCCCTGAACTCCTCTGGTGCCATCACACCCTGCGAGCCTTCTGTTGTAAAGCACAAGCCAGCCAGGTAATACCCTGCTGCTGCCCCCTCCGAGGGGCAGCTATCTGGCCTGCGGCACTGCTTCAACATCAGTTACGAAGGGACGCTTTGCGGGTGGGGGGAAGACCAAAGGAGCTTTAATGTAGTTTTAAATATGCAGTGAAGTAAGCCATGGAGACCATAGGTATTTTACACTCCCTTTCTGAGCAGCGGTGTGATTTTATGCTTCTATAAAAAAGTCTTCACTTCTGATCTTTGCAGAGAATGTTTTCTAGGCAGGCAAGTTGTGATGGAGATGAAAAGCTGCAATAAGCAGATGAAGCTATACTGTAGAGAGAAAGGATTTTTTTTATGCTTATTTTCTGAGAGCCATTAGGGCTCTAATTCTGGCATGGACCTCTGTGCCGTGTAGTATATAAACACAGCAGCGAGATAATCTGCTAAAAATTCTCCAAGAACTTCAGCCTTCTCATGGGAGAAGTGCACTTGTTACAACCTGTTTTCACCAGGTTAAGGTGGCAGAGAAACTTCAAAGGGAAAGTTGGTTGAGGGAAAGGAGTAGGTAGAAGGACGTGTGGATGAAGGGTCCGAGTTAAGCTGACAACTATAGGAGCACATATGGAGATTTTGAAAGCTGCAGAACACAGTAGTAAAATCTACGTTCATAAAACAGAGGGTTAGAATTAGGGCTGTTCCCAAATTTCTTTGGTTTGTCTCATCTGGAAGGATATAGCAGATCTTCCATACTATTTTTTTCAAAATCCATGCCCCCTCCCGACTCTTTCCAGTTGTCCCTTTTTCAGTAATTTTCCTGTTATCCTTTTCTGCTAGAAACCTTTCTGTTTTGGCCCTGTCATGGCAGGGATGTTGTATTGTTCTTGGGGAATACACTGAATTTTTGAACAGGAAGAGGGGCATATTTGGGGATCTAAACAGATTTAATGTAACACTGTCTTGTCCCAAGCTGACTGCTGAGGACCGGAGCAGGGGGATATCCAGTGTCTTTCAATGTGAATGCAATTAAAGCAGATATAAAAGCAAGCAGGCTTTTATTCTTCATAAACGTTATTTTCCTGTGATCCAGTTGATGACACGGCCCAGTGACTTCCCACGAGACACAACCGCTGTAGGACGTCCTTACCACGCTTCACAGCCCCGTTTAGCTCCAGCATTACCGCAGGCCAGAGGAGAGGGCCACAGTGTGGCCTGGGGAGCCATTTTCGGAGGGGAGACAAGCTGCCCCTTCCCTCCCGGCCGCCCTTCCCCAGGAGAACCCACAGCACCGCGCTGGCACCCGCGGCAGCTTCCAACCACACTGTTCCCATTTCACTATTTCCAGGAGGAAGAAGGAAGCTGTATGAACCAGAAGTCATCGGCAAGGAATGCAACAGGAACTTTTACGAGAGGGGAAAACACACACTGTGTCCCGAGGGCTGCAATATGTCACAGCTACCATAACCTGCAGCAGCAACGGTTTTGTTCCAGGGTTGTGTGTCGTATTCCTACAAGTAAAACCTGCCTGTGCATCCCACGCTGCAACAGCTGCCCAACCTGATCCGTGCTTCCAGCTGAGAAGGAATGCAGAATCAGCCTCGCTCGCTTCACCTGTTTATATTTCACTTGTATATCAAGAATATAGAAACTCTTTGTTTGCCGTTACTGTTAGTTACTACTGCTGTTCGCTGAGTTGCTGGACAGAAGAAGTCAGCCCCAGTACTGAGGGCCTTAAAGGACTGATGTGGATGTCACTGGCCACAACAGAGGACACATACCAAATCCCAGAGTTTGATTCTGATCAAGGTACATCACTCTTGTTGTGGTTCTTAACAGCCGAAGTTTTGACTAAACCAGGATAAGGACAGAACTGGGGATTGGAACTGATTTCAGAGAGTTTAAGATTGTATAGTTATATTCTTCTCCACAACCGTTACTTTATTTCTTTGTGTATTTGTTTGGTGTACCATGTAACAAACCCTTGAAGGCTTGGCTGTTCAGTGGCTTCTAAGAACTGCTTTACAGTATGGAGATAGCATTGTGTTTCTACGAAATTACTTTATAATCTTGCTAAAGGAGTCAAATTTCTCTCTTAAGTACTTAAATTACAGTCCTACTCTCAAAATAACACAGTTCCTTAGCCTGTGCCTTAGTGATTTCTGAGAGTTTTCTTTCCAGTTTGAAATCAATGTTTTCTTTTTTCTCCATTCACTGTCAGTCCCTGTGATCTCAGTTTAGGATTTGGTGATGAACCTATATTCTTCCTAACACATATAGTGTTTCACAGTCCAAATGCTGCTTCCAGTCACACCTCAGAGACCTCAAATGATATTCAGAATTGCCTGAAAGCAGTTCTGGTATGATCAATCACACAGGTGTAAGCGGTATCATTATTTGAAGCCAGCCCATACACAGGCTTGCTCTGAAGATAGGCCACTGAATAATCCATTTTTTACCACAAGTACAAGCCAGAAAAGATTCAGCTCATGTTTTAGAGTTTGGTTGTTTTGGTGAGACAAATGACACTTGGAATAGCAAATACAAGCAAGTTTTCATTAAAGCAGTCAGAGGTCAATCCAAATGCAAAGAACAAATACACCTGCAAGAATTGTGATGCTATTTTACACTGATCTTTGAAACAGAGACATAATAAACATTTAAAAAGGTTAAACCCTGATTTATAAATAATAAGGTAAGTTTCAAACACACATTGCCAAACAGCTGCTTGATGCTCTTTTCCTTTCCCGTGAGGTTACTCTGTGTGTTCAAGCAAAGGCTCTCCTTACCTGACCACACTGAGGTTTTAACTGGAGGCACTAGCATGGCAGGTGAGGTTTCACAGCTAATTTACCGGGGCCTCACTGACCACTAGTGGACCAGGGATAACAACTTGGGACCTGCTGCTATGGATTAACATCACAATTGCAAAAAAGCACCTTGAAATAAGCTAAGAGAATCTAAACTTGGGGCTAAAAATGATCAAGTGTGAAATACAGGCTCTGACCCATAGCAATACTTCCTGGCCACCCAAAGACGGGTGCCTATCCTGGCAGGTTTACTGCTGTCATATGGCAGGCACCTCATGCAGTATTTTCAGCCAAATTGTCCAAGATCGGTTTTGCGGTCTTGCCCCTGGAGCAAAGCTGACTTTGCTGGGTCGCGGGGAGATGACAAGAAGTAATGGTGGAATTTGAGACTTGTAGCTTAAGGACTAGAAAACAGCCCCAATGCTTTAACGAGGAAAATGAATCGCCTGCAGCGAAGGGCCCAGGGGGTAACGTTAGTGCTATTCTACTGCTTGGCGACAGCTGCTTTCCCAGGTACAGCAGATTTAATGCTGATGCCTAGGACTGAAATATAAAGGAGTCAGTCTCTCGCAGCAGCTCGCACAATCCCATTAACACAGGTAACGCCCAGCTCCGTGACTCTGTATTAAATACACTGCCACAGCAAACGTGGGGGCTCCCTGCAAACACCACACCTTCAGAGAGTTGCAAAGAGGGGAAGAGGCAAGAGGATCAGATCAATTCAGTGGCTCTGAAATGATGGCCTGGGTGCTCTGGTGGGCCATAGCGAATTATCAGAGGTTGCCCTAAGTTACAGAGTATTAAACCTGCCTGATTAAAATGGGTCGTACGGTTCAAGTATGTTGTTACAAGGTTTGCATCAGTGAATAAGCAGAAGCTTCTTGTAAAAATACTGCTGAAGAAAAATATGCCTGAGCAGAGCACATGAACTATGGGGCAATCCTGTAATACTTTATTGGCGTGAGGAGCCAGGCACTGACAAAATAAGAGGAGACAATTTTTAGGTGAGGACAGACTTCAGTGAGCTTGGGAGTTCAGTCTGTGTTTATTTGTCATTAATGTTTGATATTTGATATTCCTACGTTAGAGCTCGGATGTTGCTCATTTATGGCATGCCCCTTAACCATACAGAGCCTGTATTTTATTTTCACTTTCAATCTAAGTACTTGAAAGGGAACTTAAGGATTTATCCATGACCATGTGTGTAACAATTTAACACAAAGGCAACAAGCCAGAGGCGAGCTTAATTTCAAAGGCACAGCCTACAGAACTTTTCTGCTGAAATTGTATCTAATACTACACAAGGATAGCTGACAAACACCTTCGTTGCGGGAGTCTGTGCGCCCCATAGATAAATTGCTGTCCCTCATAGATTAATCAAGTATTTGGAAGAAACTCTTCCAACTTGCCTGGGAAACCACACGCTGTGTTAACTAGGAGATACCTTTACAAACTGCATGATTCATTTTGGACTTGTAAAACACAAAAACTTTAGACTTAAACTTTTTGAGGTAAACCAAACCAAACCAAAACTCATTTCTCAACTGTTCCAGGTTTGATTCCTCCCCCCCCACGCATACAGACACAGACAGATCCACACGCACACACACACATTCATATGTATATATATACACATACATCTACAAAAGTTTAAGCAACGTACCCATTTTCAGAAACTGTGACTATTCAGGTACTCTGCATTATTTTACACACGTCAAGCAGAGATCTGACCGATTTATACGAAAGCGACACTAAACCATTCTTCTTTGTACACTGCAGTTCGGTGCAACAGTGAAAATTAGTGCCATGGGCAAACTGTCAAGGATCAATTCAAATTATTTCCAAACCAGCCACAGTGTGCATTATCATAGTCCTGTTTTCAGAGTGCTCAGCTGACAGCTGATGTCTCTTCAGTCCCCTCTGAGGCAAACTAGCTTTGTAGCTGGTGATTTTGTGACACAAACATCCCTGAAGAAGACAAGGTTGTGGGATGACGATGACATTGAAGGACACAACTGTTAACTGTATTTTGTTAAATACTTACTTCTCTGAAAACATTCATTTCTTGAAGACACAGGCCATTACAACAAATAAATATAATTATGTAAAAATAAAAATACTGGGCAAGATGTTACGCCTTTATTAGGAGTAGAAGAAGTTTATACTGAATTCCCCGGGATATAGCACGCGAGCAGGAACTTGAAACTTCACGCTACTGCTGGGGTCTGTCATTGTCAACACCACTATCTCCACTGTTGTTCAAAACACAGAAAAACAGCGTTGCTGTTTACTTGTTAACAGCCCCAGCTAATAATGATAAGCAGCAGTTAATCCTCTAATACACTTCTCAAACTTTCAAGCACAGACTAAATGTTTTAATAGAGCTTATCTGGCTATCTTACTTGCTGCCTGTTTGTGATGGCAAACCCTTGCTGTGCCAACTACAGCAACTGCCACTTTGAAAAACTTAATTTCTATCCGATTTAATACAATGTTTTGATTTGCAAAGGGGGGAAGCCAACAGCATGTAGCTGCTCAGCTCTTGCTAGTCCAGCAGCAGCTCTCTATCACAGTTTTGGATTTCTCTGTCAAAAAAACCATTCTTTATCCTAGGGCATGCTTACACATGGGAAGGAAAAGGAGGAGAGTGAAGGGGGAAACTGGAATAGTCTTTCTCTTCCACTTCTGGAGGACAGTGAGACCAGGTATAGAGAATACTGAAGGACCATTTTTCTGTTCTTACGCGAGTTTTGGAACGGGGTTGTTACAGGAGAGAGAGAAGGGAAGATGCCTGCGGCTCTGAATTTACCAAGGAAAGCTCTGAAGGGACTGCACCTAGAGGTGTCTGGATATGACATAGATATCATCCATGCAACCCTATTCCACTTATTACAGAGGCTGATGGAGTTTCTAGAGGGTGTCCATTTGGAAGGAGGACATGTTAATTCAGTAATGGTGGGTGAGACCAGCTATGATAGCGAGACAATGGGATGGTTTTCTCTCAGGGGTGGTAATAAATGGTTTTGCAGGGTATTTGATATCGTAGAGCATCTGCAGAGCTTTTGACTCTCGATGTAATAAGGCCAATCCTCTTAAGCAAGTTAGAAACCTGTGACACAGAAGTGGTAAGTCAGCTCAGAGGAAAGGAGTAGGGATCACAAAAAAGGAAAAATGTCTGTGTAT